AAWWAMSRAAARKTTTTTTTTTATTAATAAGCGTTTAAAGTTTAGGCGAGTTGAGTAAAATGACAAAGTGTGGGCTTCACTGCAGGGCAGGAAACATTGTGGTTCACTACTCCGCTCATCAAAACTTTAATTGCTTATTAATTAAAAATTTATTTGTTCAGCAACAATCGATATAATATTATACATATATAAGTTGTTGATATACAATTTTTCTTAATAAAAAAACTACCAAGCCTTCGGTAATATAAAAGTGAGAAAAAAAGAATCAAATTAAAATAACGTAAATATCAAAATTATAAAAATAACCGATTTATAAGATTTCTATAACACCAAAGAAGTACAGTCAGCAGTACTTTTCGCACATTGCATGAATTACAGTAATTTATGTATTTATGATTCGGTATATAATTCAACCAATAATTACATGACTAGGGACGGCATAATATCTGTCGGGAAAATCATAATAGAATAATACGTAATAATAGTAGTCAAGTTTCGCTGGCAACAAATGGTTGGCTGATGACCAATATTATTAATCTGTCAGTGTGTGCGACCGCTACCGTTAAAGCAATGTTAAATATTATTGTCACCCTTTACAATGCATGCGTTGAAATTTATAATTAGTTCCTATGATAAAGTTGATTATTATAATTATATTGTATTGCTACTCCTTCAAACACATTGTGTAGCATTGAATTGTATACAATAATAGTATAGATATATATTATATTTATATAGTGTCTAAATACAATTTATCAGTTAAAAWTATTCGTCACTAATAGGCATATAAAAACATTTACTGTGGCCACAGACTAATATTATTCGATAAATGACCAACATTTTGTGATTTATCAGCTAATATGAAAATGACATTGTGTTCCAATAAATACTATCGATTACGTGTAATAAATTGCTGTGGCTAAACTTTGTGTTCATTAAGCGTAATATCCCATCCACTGCTCTATTGATTATTTGATTTATATACATATACCTACCTAATGTATGTCTGATCGACCAGTGACAATTACGCCGATGAGTGTAATTTCCATAACAGTTCATAAAATGATATGCGACCTTAAAATCGTGCATAGCTCAATTCGTGAAATCCAAGAATTCTCATTTTAATAGTAATAAGTACTCGTATAATACGCATAGGTGGTATATATGTGAATTGGGGTGTCGTGTCAAAAGCGATAGTTATGTGGAAGTGTTAGGTACCTTCTCGCCTGTCTCAAACGATTAGATTATTCGGGATCAACGTTACTGTGAACGATKTTCGATTCTGTTTATTCATTGAACCCGTTAAGTGCCGACAAAGTTTCTGTCTCGTAAACCAAAAGCRTATCTGGTTATGAACCTTATAATTATTATTTGTTCTATGTGACACGACAGTGAAATTAATTTTAGTGTTATTGAAATACTATATACATATGTATATTCGAGCAAAGCGTAATAGCATAGAATTCTTACTCTATACCTTAAGCGAAAATGCTGTTTATTATTTCAAGATATGAACAAAATGCACAGCAAATTGTCGTAAATTAATACAAACAAGGAAAATACTTACGTGAACAATATGGTGGTTCATCTGATTTGTCACCACAGTCATCGTTACCATTACAAAATTTGTCCAAGGACACACAATAACCCGTATCGCACATAAACTCAGATAACTGACAGCCAAAACCATAATTGATCGTGCCTAACACACCGCATAGGAATATAAATCTTCGTACTTGCATTGTGGTCTGAAAGCAAATAAAAATCAATCAATTAGATATAATTATTTTAGTTGATTGTAACTCTATATATTGGTGTTTTCAATAAAACCTCGCAAAAAAGAAAAACATTTTATCAGAGAAGATCAAATATTAAACGATATAGTGTTCCAACTTATAATATAAAATTATATTATTATAACAATGATTTTATTTGAAATGTTAAAATCAAAAATTTAAGGCTCAAGGATATCATTATATTGATATTATAGGGGGAAATTCCACGAGGACTGCAACTATAGTCATAGCATRTTGAAAATTAAACATTTAAAGAATCGTTTCGCGATATGAAAAGCAGCAATATCCTGACTATAAATCAAGAACCGAGCTTTTAAAACGTCAAGACCGCCAACAATTCGGTCAAGTTCGGTAAAACTTTTTTTTACGATCAATGAACACTTGTTGTATAGACAATCATCACAAAAAGACGAATATCATTGGAAACATAAACATCACACAGCAGTGATGAAAGGCGCATTTTATTTACTATATTTTACGTACACACTCTAAAAACCATGAAAATGGACGAAGAAATGCAAATAATATGTGAATATTTTCAACTTTCATCATTATTTCCAGGCAAATAGGTAAACAACCAACAGCTGGCCAAATTTATTTAATTTACACAAATTAACATAAAACGTAACTGTATAAAATACACTTCTTATTCGTTTCCCGAGTTTATTTAATCTGCTTAAAATATTATAGCGTCTTTTTATTATAATTACTATTATTTTTTGGATTGTTCAATAATATTATTATGTTTCTTATTAAAATGTATCTTAATACGTATTATAATAACTCGCAATGTATCCCATGTGGTTCGTATTATAATAATGACTTTAATATTAGTAGTTGCTTCTCATTTATTATTATTATATTAACAAAAAAAATAAAAATAAAAATAAAAAAAATACCTAATTTAATGAAATGTATTAAATGTAATATAATATGTCATATATGAGTAGATACGTTAATATTTTTTCTCACCGAAAYGTGTACTTACTTAAATATTCATTTCACAATTTTTTCACTTTTTCCAAGTGCCAATAAATTCAAATTTCAATAGCCTATCTCTTTTGATGTATTTTTAATAGAGACCGACCGTTACATATACTCGTACCTTATTTTGTGTATTTATATATTTTATACTGTATACCCTTGTCAATCCAAAAATTCAATTTAAAATCTTTATTGCATGTGTCATTTGTTATTCGAATAATATACACATTAGCCCGCCTCAATTTTCACATTTACTATTTAATTTTAAAATTTCATTAGTTCAATATTTTAACAGCGCCAATTCAAAATTTTTATAATATGTGCCTAATAATCTATTGTACACGTAATGTGATAAGACGAGTTATTATAGTATATATAACTAATATAATTGTAATATATACTTTGTGATGTTTAAAATGAAAATAAAATATGTTAAACTTGAATCATATTACTGACAGTGTATAGTGAATTTATTAGGTATCGATCAACAGTATATAACAATACAATATCAATCATATTGTTTTCGAGTCCTGAAAGTCGTAATGTCGTAACTAATTACAAAGACTAATAATAGTGATAAATAAAATAATATGAAAAAGGATGTAGCCGACAAGAGAAATCGTATTGAAATATGAATGTTGTGACAGCGTCGAAACATAAATTATTAAATATATAACATGAATCATGATAATAATATTATATATATATGGTGCACAGTAGTAACTACAAAACCTTATGAAAACATAATATTATACACACATGGTATTGATTTTTGAACGATGTGAGTTCTGATTTATAAGTCATGGTGATGATGATGAAGAACATGATGACGATAATAACAATAATAACAATAGTAATGACACACCTAATAACAATGATAATAACGAGTGTGGCCCTATGATGAGTCTATTATCTTATGGCATATTAACCYGTATAAGGTTTTGATTATAATATTTTGCGTGTTGACAGCGTGTAGGTAGTAGGTACATACATTATAATAATATGGTAGTTGATTTGTCAATTAACCCCGCAATGCGTCAATGTTTATTATTGTATCATCTACCTCGGTACATCGACGTGGTATATAATTTATATTTTGATTTTGACACGATCTTAATTCACTCGTTCTASCCCCGTCTTATGTTTATAATTAGAGCCATACAACTCCACTTAAGCGTTTTCAACGCCGCTCCCTTTTCTGAGCAAGTGTGTGTGAACAACAGTAACGAAACATTATTTCAACCTTAGCGATCTTAACATATTCTCGTCGTAGAACTTTGATCACAACTCGAGGCGATATACAAATTTCTAGTCTGACACTTGTATTGATTCTCTCTTTTAGCACCAATTCTCTCTGTCGTTTTACTTAGGAAACTATTTAAATCTCCTGAAACCCACATCAATTAGGATTAAGTCATCGGTGAGCGTTATTATAGACATCAATGAAAACGCTTTGACGATTCCGTCTACTAATTACAACTAGACTTGTACGTCGAAATTTAATTTAAAAATTCGTAGCAAGTACTTACGCGTTCTCACATTAATCGTTACATATAAAGATATACACTAATATATACACATAAGCGTTAACTGTTAAGATGTTGTTGTTAAGACAGGTGTATTAATATTAATGACTGTAATATTATGTAATATTTTAATAAACATTTCTCTGAACAAAGCATAAAATTAGACTTATTTTTAAATTTTCATTTAAATTTAAATGTTCCAATAATAAAAGAAGACTGTTCGTATATCTTCTATAGCCCTATACATATTAACGTGTATACATTTTAACGTCCATAATACATCTGTTATTTAAATTAATGACTTAGGTACTGTACATAATATAATTGTTGTAGTAAAGAGTTCAACAATTTATTTTATGACACATTCATTTGCATATAAAACCCTTTTACTCGCAAATTACAAAGGAAATATTTGGCAGTAAAAAGTTAATTTTAAAGATGAATATTAAATTAATTTTGTTTAGTTTATTTACAAATAATTACCCACGAGAGCTTAAAAAATGGGAAACGTTGCGAAAAAAAACAACACTGAATGATCGGCGGGTATGTTTCACTACACCACGATTACATTCGTGGAAGTAGAGGATTTGGTWACTGTAATTCATTAGGCAAATCCCGAAACACGTTAGCGTACGGTGGTATTACCTATATTATATAATACACATGTACATATGTATATATATTTTATAGCCATGGAACTGCGGATGGGACCTGCCCGCCTATATTCTTACCGCCGTGTTTCGTGTCAATAATGTGACTGCAGTATAGACTTCTCGGGGCCAAGGCCAAAATTTAAGAACCACTAACCATTGGAATTGAATTCATTTGTYTTGCTGTCGTTTRCTAACCTCGTCTGACAAATAATGTGTATGGAAATTAATGGAACGCCGGATTCCACATCTCCAAAGTGTATATTATATTATATCCCCGTCAATTGAACCCTTGTGGAATTTATTACTCGATCCGGAGGGCATTACAAATGTGCGTATCAGTTACCCACCTCCTCACACCTATTTTGGAGGTCGGCAATTTAACCCCCCTCACGTTATCAACTCCGTCAAATTCTTACAGACACGATCCTTTTATTCTCGCAGTGAAAATCTCGTTTGAAAATTGACTCCCATGCAACAGTTCCAGGACTGAATCAGTTGGAACTGAACATTGGAGCTCTTAAAAATGTACCGCAAAACGATTCCTTGTCAATCTAGACTAGTTTTTGCCGCCAAAGACGCGCCATCCAAATGATATTAATCGATATTTCAATGACATTAATATCGGATTCGTGTGTGGATATAGAACCTAATTAAAGTGTTTTGTTGAGAATATATCCACCCAAACAGTATAAATATTGTTTCAAATAAGTGTCATATTACATTATTATTAACTGTTAAGTCATAGGTGAGTTAATGTTATTTAATTTTTTATACTGACCGTGAATATTCCAAACTACTATATGAGTCGATTTTCTGCATTTTTTTTTTCAGGTTTATTTTGAAACTATTTTTGTGTAGTATAGTTATATCGAAGTAATTACATCTAGTATGCAATATAATTCGTATGTGAATTGCATAATATGCATAATAATATTATGTGTACAAGGTACAACATTATGTCACTAGCAATATGATGAATAAACTTTTGAATGCATTACATCTATGTTTGATATAATACCCATAGATACTAAAGCTCAAGACTTAATAATATGTATTATTTTACCCAACAGACATACATATAGTTTGATTTCCTTTAAGTCGTTTATTTCAAAAAGAAAACGAGAGATGACATTTTTAAAAACTTGTACATTATAATAATATTATATCAACGGAAGTATATACAAGTACGTTTTAGTTATGCACATGTACATGAATACGTATATATATATATATATGTACAGATTGTGTGAGTAGATCCTAAGTAGATACATAATAAATAAAAAAATAACAGACAGATGTAGAAGCGTTAGAACTCAGAAGTTAAAGTTAAACAAAAAAATAATACTGAAAAGTTAAAAAAAAAAAAAAACATTAGTTGTTTAAAATGATAAGTATAATAATATAACTGAGTGAGAAAAATATTTTAAAGTACATTCTTAGCAGACCTTCTCTCGTTTTTATATCACTTTAAAACTATTATTATTAATTGTATTCCTTTTTTTCCTCCTCTATATCCGTTTTCGTCTGAGTTATTTCAAAGCAACCGAACTATTGAAAGAGTATACAAAATTTTTAGAAGAATTGAGTGAAGTAGATAGAATTGACGTGTTTCTTTTCATTCCCATGCACTGTATTGAATACCATTCAGTAGCAGAGCCAACGTGATTGTAATAATATTATAACAATATAATAAAGGATTAACTCTCAATATTTTTTTTATTATATTATTATTATGTATCACTGTCTATAAAAGTATAAAAGCTTTAATACGACACGATTAAGT